CAAGTCTCAAGGTTGTCGACTTGACTCGTTTCTGCAGTTCCACGACGTAATCTGTAGCCAAGGGCGTCGCTAGGTTTTTTTTCTGGGTGGGGTAATTGAAAATTACAGACGACATTATATAAGTATAGATATTATTATATAATGACTGAAAGGGTAAATAAAAACATATTTTGTAACAAAGTATAATAATCATAAATGAAAATGATTACAGGTCCTTATGAATTGAGCTCATAAAATAAATTCTAATTTTCTCTTTTTCTGGTTCTGCATCATAATCTATTTCACGTTCTCGATAGAAATGTAAAAGTGCTAAGCCAACCAGCCTTTCTTGACTCATAGTCGATCTTAGGTAAGTTTTTAGGCGTTTCAATGCAGAAAATGATCGTTCAGCAGATGATACACTTACGGGCATGACCGTTATAAAATGTAACGATAAATTAATGATCGCAAAAATGTCTGTCACACATTTTCAAAACATTCACCGCACTTTCCTGAAAAGGCCCTCCAGTTGTTCTGAGATTTTCCATCCACAGCTCAATTTCTAGCTGCAATTTATTGAAAATATACTCTGTACTCTCTTGTAAGAAAGGCTGTAAATAATGGCTCAAATTATCAGCCATATTTTTAATTTCTGCTTGATTTCTCTTCAGTATAAGAGATGGTAACAGGCCATTGATTTCCATGGCAGAGAAAAAAATTGAACCAAATCGAAAATTAAATCTGTAAAATGTTATCTAGTAATGAGATGAATATGCTGACTCTGTAATATTCCTCAGGATCATTGGTGGGAAAATTTGCCCTATTTATTTGTCTTGTGTTGACTCTAGGCAGGTGTATGGAAATGTCCAATTTTTCGTGAAGAATTTTTAATTCTTCGAAAATTGATTGGAAGCAAGTATCAATATTATCTCTTATTTTTCAATACCGAAATTATACCTTCAACTAATTTTTGTGCAACTCTTTTATCAAGCGTTTTTTTTTGTAGAATTCTGCTTAAGTTTTCTGTTAAGCTTAGAAAATGAGCTAAACAGAACAAAGATGTTATGAATTTTGTAGTAAGCAATGAATTCATCAATATCTTTCCACTGAGATATAAGTTGCAAGGCTTTGATAATATTCTGAAATGAAAGCTTAAATACTAATATCGCTTCGTGTCTTTCTGACCATCTCGTTTCACATAACTTTACTAGTTGAAAGTCATTGCAATATTTCAGCACATGATTTCTTTTTGGTGAACTTTTGAAAAAGTTGATAGTTTCCTTGATGATCCCTACAGCATTCCGTATATCTTGTACATTACTACATTTGGAAATAGATAAATTCAATGTGTGGTTATAACATGGACATTTGATCGCATTCGTGCATGTTTTCGTTATCTCAGAAACAGCCCCCTTTTGGTCTGATAACATAACACTGCAAGTATCAGTCCCTATACCCACACATTTTTCTTCGGGCAGACCAATATCTTTCAAAAATTCGATGACAGTAATATTTTGCCAGTTAAAATAGGTTCTTGAGTTCCACCATCATAGTTTTCTTCATGACAGTTGATGAAGGAGAGGAAATCTTCGTGAACCTCGTAGTTTTTGTCCATATACCGGATCACAAATGACCAGGGGCGGATGGGACATGGTAAACCGGCCCGGGAAAACAAGCACTGGCGGCCTGGCCTATAGATACCTTATCTTAATAAAAAAAAAATGTTTTTATATAATAATCTATTTTTTTGTTAGATGAACCTATGGGTCTTTATGAGAGAAAAAAAAAAAGAAAAAATGTGCTTCGCTTCAAGCATTTAATATGAAACAGTAGGAAACATTGTGTATAAAAATAAAGAAATAAACTACACAGTTATACGAAACAAGCACCAAGTAACAAAAGACAAATGATAACATCGAGGAACTTAAATAAAAGGGAAGGAACTAAACATTTGGCATACATTGCAAAATAAGAAAACAACGGAAAATCTAAAACCTAATGAATCCAACCCAAATTATATTTTATAAAAAATAGTGCAAATTAATAAGGATTTAACGAAAAAGTAATCTTTTCATTTAAGCGCTCTGTCCAGCTAAAGCATTGATAACTTCTTCATTGTCAACCTGGTTCAACACAGTACGTTCAATATTCATTAACATGAATGACTCAAGTCTATTATCAGATAAGGAATTTCTTAAGCGAGTTTGTATAAATTTAAGAATAGAGAATGACCTTTCACATTGTACTTGAGATATGGGAAGCGTTAAAAGGTAGTGATATGCAGTAAATAGCGAAGAATAGGCCCCCTGAAACATATTATATTTTGTAATAACAGAATAGCAGCATATAGCACAATTTTTACAAGCAGCCGATTCTTTGGAATTGGGGACACTATCAGATTCTTCTTCAACGTCAATCTCTATGTCCTCAATATCTGACCTCTCTGATATTATATAAGTATCTTCGATGGTCAATTTGAATCTGTTCCAGTTTTTTGCAAAGTTGAGAAGTTCTTCTCTTAAATTTTCAGGAGTAGCAGACGAATTATATTTGATGATTTTCGCAGAAAGTCTTTCCATACAAGCTGAAAGCGATTCAAGAGAGTCATTGCATGCAATTTGTTCGAAGTTTTTTGGGTCTAAAGCAGCTAAATCCCTACATAAATCCATATTTTTTGAAAACCTTGTCTCCATCGAGTTCAATGCAGTGTCCATCAAGATATTGAAGGTATTCACTCTGAACTTGTCTACTTCCGTATTTGGTTGTTCATCGATAGTTGCCTCATCAAAAAGAGTCTTAACCCTTCTACGACGAACTTCTTGAAAGTTCTCCTCAATTGTTGCATCTATTCCTTTTGAAATAAGTTCTGCTTTAGCCCATGTTATAAATTTTTCCGTAGCTTCACTAATACTATTTAAGTCTCTTTGGAATGAACGTAGATCATTTATAGCTGTTTCAATCATACCGTTACACTTGAGCAGATCTAAACCTTTAGTTTGCAAATACCTTGAAACAGGACCGGTAATACTGAATATTTTTAAAAATATATGAGCGGTTATCAAATTTTCGTACTTTAATAAACCCTCCTTTAGAGACAGAGCATTGGCCCTTGCGCTTGGTTTGATTTTATCGTTATTTTCTATTTTGCATAAAACATGTAGAAGACTAACATAAAGGCCAGAACCAGTATCTGGTTTATTATATTCACCAAAAATTTTTCTCAAAGCCGCCTCTTTAGCCCACCAACGAGTTTCCCCGATGTTTTGTAATCTCTTATGTTTCGGATCGTTCACAGTCAGATCAAAAATATCCATTCTTTTATGAGAGTCTTTGAAAAATGAAGCAATAGAATTAAGTAGCGTAAATAGTGAAGCAGCCTTAATGTTAATATTCAATATGTCACCTATCACAAGATTCAAAACGTGACTGTAACACCAAATATGAACGTGCTCTTCGTTTTCATTAATCATTTTAGTGGAAAAACCTTTAAACTGGCCCTGCATATTACTGGCTCCGTCAGTAGCGTTCGCAATGCAATTTTGTGGATCCAAACCATTTTCTTCGAACACTTTCAGAACAGTCTCCAGGAATCCTTGGCCGGTAGTGTCAAGACAAGGAACAACTGAAACCAGTCTTTCTTGAACTTTGCCCCTGTGCACATATCTGCAATAATTTTTTTTAGGGCTTCAAGAAAATAAAGGAAATCTCTAACTTACCTTATGATAACTGAACATTGGTCTCTCACAGTGATATCCTGAGTTGTATCGATTTCTATCGAGAACATTCTCGCTTCTTTTATTTCTGAAGATATGATTTTCTTCATCATGTTGGTTATTATTGAAATTATTTTATTCAGGATAGTCTTTGAAATAAATGTTGTGAAAGTACCTGTTCTTTGTTTGGCACCGCTCTCCTTTATTCTTTTACTCTGCTCGATAATTTTATTCATATGTTCTTTCAAAATTACGTCGTATTTTGACAACAACATTAAAATTTCTAGGAAATTTCCGTGGTCAATCTCTTCGTTGTCTAACGAATAGGCAGCTTCATTTAAATGTCCTCTGTATGAAATACCTCTTCTGCCAATTACCTTCAAAATGTTTATAATTCGGTCAATTATCTGGCGATTGTTGATAACTTTCTTAGAATGTTTCTCAATATGTTCACTGAATAATAATTTGTCGACACTCTTATTTTTCGTGAACATGAAATATGCTTCACAGCACTTTTCATGGGTTGATGTTTTCTCATGTTCACTTATTCTTTGATAGACATGCCTCCACTCACACATGCCACTAGAATTAAAGCTGCTCAGCTGTCGTTCATCAAAGGCTAAACACACGGAACAAAATAATGCCTTTTTTGTAAAACTATAGGTTAACCACTGTCTACGAGAATGATTTTCACGTTCAAATGCCTTTTGGACTTTGAAAGGTATGAACTGATTTGATGGAATTTGTGGATGTTTTTCGAAAAAAGAAATTAGTTCATTATCAGCCGGTCGTTGGAAAAAGTCATATTCGCTCGCATACACACAGTCTATAAATTCTTGGGAAGTCGCAGCTTCAATAGCGATATTTTCGTTTGGATTGACATCAGAAGCACTAGTAGAAGGGTGGGGAATTTCAGTTTGGGATGAGTGCTCAGAATGATCTAACACGGTCACAATTTCGCTTGAGCTAGACAAATTACGTTCCTCTGTGACGGGTTTCACGGGTTTGGGGAACATACTCTCCAGCGAGTGGCAACTTCTCGCTTCTTCAGCCAGTTTACGTTTTTTCCGCTCTCTTTGCTTTTCAGCTCCTCCTTTGGGTTTAGACTTCGAACAAATTTTCATTTTGTCACCAATTTTATTTGTATCCATTTTTCCTGAGGAATTGGAACCAATACTGCAACTACAAACAACACCACAATAATTGCCAAGAGACAGCACAACCGCTTTGTGTTAAATAATAATTTTAACTGCATGAAAATTCCCTCCCTCACGCGTTCGTACGGATTTGCACTAGACCCCGGCCCGTTCAACAATCAATTATTGTGAAAGAAAGATAGGTAAGCTTGGCGCAGATGACGTGGAGAAGAGGAAGATAAAAGATGGTTTTCCCATGCTGTTTTTGAATTGTGGACGGGCCGGAGCGTATTGCTGGAAGCAAAATCGCGGGGCAGGTCTCGTGTCCGGCCACAGGTGACAGCCAACAGGAATCGAAGATGATTCTTTTTTGACTTGGACCGAACCGGCCCTTCGGGAAATTTCCCGAGTGCCCAGCCGGCCCATCCGCCCCTGCAAATGACATTTGGGAGTTATTGCTTACATCAGTTCAGTTTCATCAAAAATAATGCTGTAAAACCCCGTTTCCTTGATTTCCTTAACTATAGAATTCATTATTTTCTCGCCACAACAGGAAATGAGCTCATTTTGAATCATGGCACTTGAATATTTGGTGCGGCTCGTAGCTGTTTCAAAATGATTTTTCAGAACAGAATCATCTCCACAAGTTTCTATTCGGTGTCGTATCAATTCTCTGAGATTACCCTCATTGATTTCAGATGCTACTATCACATCCAAATTGATCTTATGACCACGAAGTGGAATATTTTGTCTCCCCAAAAAAATAATGCTTTGACGGATAGCCTTCAATTTATCCCTGTTTTGCTGGACCTGTTCGCAACGTCTAACATCTAAAATATTAATGATTTGTTTCTCTAGATTTTCATGAGTCTTCATGAAGTTCATTGCTACAGTTATAGCTTCCTTGTGGTAAATCGTATTTTCATGGCTTGTAAGATCTCCATCTTTCCCTAGTAGTTTGGAAAATTTTGTTAGTGGCTTGACAACTAATTTAGTTAGTGATGTTGCTTTGTTCATTCCACCACTTTTTGCAAATAAAAAGCAATATTTACAGAATATGCCCCGTGCAAATTTTGAAAATATCAACCAAGAGAAGTTTTAAAAATGTTTTTCTGACAAGTAACATTTCACCTCTTTGTTATTCTTCAGGTGAACAGAATGTGGGAATAAAAATGTTTTGTTCGCAACGAATGCATTTTTTCAAATATTGTACTTCTCTATATCTGTTAGCATGTGCCCCATGGAATATCCAACATCTATTTCTCCTTCGAATTTGGCTCCATTGTGATGCTGAACTAAAGTTTCATCTTCACCCGCAAAAGGTTCGTTTTTTTCATCACTTGTACTTGGGGTTGCAATATCATCTTTTCGCTCTAACAAATGATCAAAGGTGTTTTCATTTTCTTGCTCGGATGACTTCGATTTTTTCGAAATGAAGAAGTCCAACGTTTTTGAGATCTCTTATTCATTTCCTGGAAATTGATACAAGTTGATGAAAAATGGTTTTCGCATGAAGTCTAATGAAACATACCTCTTCTAATAACATTTCACAATATTCACATACACTCAAAGCTCAAGCGTGCGACAGTCTTGAACTTGAAAAAACTGAAAACTGCATACTGCGTTCACAACTCCTCCCCTCCCCCCACTGTCCCGTGATCAAGCGGAACAGGTCGCTCGAATTAGGAATTAGCGCGGTAAAGAGCGCCGTGGTCCGTGGTCAAAGCTCGTGACCGTGACTCGTGGCTCGTGGGGCAGGGGCGGCTTTGTCACTCACAAATTTCATGACTAATAGCAAGTGGAGAACGGCAATTCCGGCAAATATTGTTGAAAATTATTGATTGATGTAGAACTGAATAGAATATCGAATAAAAACAATCTTGTGAATGAAAGATTCGTAGGTCAGTATTTTCCTTGGGGGGGGGGGGTAATTACCCCCATTACCCCCCCCTGTAGCGACGCCATTGTCTGTAGCCCATCTCTGCCAAAACGATTGCTGGATACGTTGCAATACATTCAATTTCTTCTAGTGAAAGTGACGAAAATTCACTTCAGGGTTCCTCTATTTCCCAGAACTTCTCTAACTGTCCTTGTATATCGCAAGTCACATTCAATCCACAATAAACATTCTAATTCATTGGCTCTGTCTGTCTTAATTTGCTCAGAAATGATCCATCCCAATTTACTATTTTGCAATACTGGCATGCATTTTCCAAACCTAATTTTTTCTGAACGTACTTTCTTTTTCTGATCTATCATCATCAGAAAAGTAACAGCTACTTGGAGTTCTTGGCTTATATAGCTTTTGTTTATAACTTATTTTTTTGATTTGAATATCTTCTTATGAAGTGATCTGAATTATATTTCATTTTCCTAAATTATTCTTACCTCTGGAAACATGTTGGAGAATAAAAAAAAAGGAATAAAAAGAAAACAAAAACAAATTTATTTATTTTGGCTTACCCTTTTTGTACATCTCGTTTATAATAATAATAATAATAATAATAATGATATCGCTTTTATTGGTACAGGTTATAGAGATACAATACAAAAATTATGAAATAATGACAAGTCTCGAATATCTCAAAATGTTTTCACTGTCACTGTCACTTCTGTCAAACGATGGCAAAGGACAATTCAAACATGGGCGTTTCACATTAATTTTATTTTGGGGTTAATGATTATCTATAACATGGCCTTTTTCTGATATTGGATGGCTCTGCTCGGGTGGGTTCTACAATGGGTTCTATTAGTTCATCTTCCCTTTGGGTAACATCACGAGGGGCATATGCTAATTCCGATATTGCATCCGGATTGAATGGAAATTACCGGTTGCGGCGAAGCCTGCTTTTATATTCGCCGGCGTTACGCTTTTATCCCAGACAACACTCAAAATTTCACCAAATCGCAGCTTGATGTTTAGATCTTTGTATCTTGTCCAATATTGGAGTACCTGATCACCCCAGTGGTATTCAAAAGACCGAAATACCGATTTATCAAAGGGCTGCAATTCATGAGTCGTGTTGCTTGGTAAGCAATAAAGGACAATATCATTTCTCTCTGCTACATCAACGATTGTATGGTCCAGATGGCATTTGGCACCATCAAAAATCAAAAGACATTCTCCTACTGGTTTATATTCAGCCAGATACTCGATACAGGTGCAGAATGTGGAAATGTTCATGCTACCTTAAGGAGTCATAAGGACCAATGATCCTGGTGGTAATTCTGGTTTCATTCTTTTCCCTTCGAATAAAACTGTTGGTGGAATGGAATTACCAGAGGTATTGCCACAAGAGACAATTGTGATGTTTTCTCCGTGCTCCGGTGCTACCAAGTGTACACGTTTCGCCCCTTTTTTGCTAGTACACTTTGTTGATGGTGTAAACTCATCCTGCAGCCTTTTTCGTCGACATTGAAAATCTTCTCTGGGCTATCCATGAGATCCAGTTCCAAAAGGATTTCTCTCAATTTTGTAAAATGGTCATTTATTATGAATCTATTTAGTTTCTGGGCACGACCCGGGTTCATACTTTCTGCTTTCTTTGGTCTTATCAAAGGATTTCTTTTTAAGAATCCATGAAGCCAATACCTGCCAGCCATTTTGGACTCGATAAAAAATTCAGTTTGAATGCTATGTTTAGTGCAGAAACTGAAAACACACCTTCGAAGTGTCCTTGATGTGAGCGAGTAGCCAACTTCTGCTAAACGAAATATTCTTGTAGACAGTTCTCTTTCTTGACCAGCAGTGAGTACTGAAATTGTACGGAGGTGAACTCTGGGCGAAAAAGGGGGCCTTACGTCAAATTATTTTGATCACTATGATTTTTCTAGTATCATTCGCTAGTATACTTCGACCATTCATAGGATTCAAATCATATACAGAGTGTCCAATAAGTCATGGATCAAAAGAAGTGGGGTGGTAGGGGGGGTAATTTCCAATCAAACTAACCGTGTATGTGGTTATCCAATTGTTGATGGTTCAAAAGTTATTAATGTTTTTTCATTTCTATAAAAATAATTAATTACAATTAAATTACACTCAGTTCCAAAAAAAGTGACGCACTTGATATTTGACCTATCTTCTTGAAAAAAAAAAAAATAGTAGGCCGATTTTTATTTTATTTTTTATTTGTTGATAGGTAATGCATTTGTCTAATAAAGAGGTGAACATTTTTTCAAAGCCTCCTTGATGGTGGTGGAATAACTCAGTCATCCCAATTTATAATTTTGTGTTTAATAAAAATGTTTTTTAAAATTATTGGAATCAGTTTATTTCATTAGAAAATTGTTTCTCGATAAATTCAGAAAGTTGGTAATCTGCAAGGATTCAGCAAAAAAGCTGTAATTCGGAAAATTTTAGAGATAAATCAATGAATAAAAAAATGAAATGCTCGCAAAAGAAGCCTCTTTCGTATAGGGTGTAAGCACTTGGTATACCATTACTCAATTAACACACAGGGTGAGTCAAAAATCAAGAATAAATCATGGTTCGAGTTATTCCACCACCATCAAGGAGGCTTTGAAAAAAATTTCACCTCTTCATTTTTTCTTTAACACGTTGACTGCCTATATGAGATGTGGGGATTTCCCGAATGACCGACATTTTTTATTGTTCAAATTTGTGAAAAACAAAGTCCTTAGTGTTGTGATGGTTATTCCAGTTTATTTTTCAGAGTCATTAGACCTGAAAATAGTATGACTCAAGGGTTGAGTCACCGGCCTCTGAGGTCTGTTTGAATAACAACAGGCCGATGACTCAACACTTGTGTCAGACCCTAAAATGAACTTAGCAAAGAAAACTAAATATGAATTGCATGCCAAACCTTTATTGAACAGTGAGATACATTGTTTTCAACATACTAAACAAACAGAACTCAACAAAGTCAACAAATAAGAAGATTATTGCCAAAAAAACAGAAATATCATTTTCTGTCATGATATATTCGGAAACAATTTCCGAGGCAAAGTCCCGGTTGGTCGTCACAAGCAGGACAGAAAAATGGGGTATTCTTGCGAATTTTGTTTCCATAGCATACCTTGCACCGCTTTCTCATTTGGCGTCCTCTATCATCCAGATGATATTTTTCAGGCATATGGTTAGGCTGTTCTTTAGCTTTATTCTTCGATTTCTCAGCTGGTTTCTTTTCCGTTCGTGACAGAAGGTGTTTGATGATACTGTGTCGAAAGTCATAATAGCTAAGCTTGTTTTTGGAGGAATATGTATTATAAAGGTGAAAGCTGTTGAGAAGCATCATTGACATAATATGAATTGCAATTCTCTTATACCACCTAATTGTTTTTCTCTCACTTGCGTAATATGCAAGCATTTGATCCTGCCTGTCGATTCCTGACATACTCCTATTATACTGGATTATAGCGTTCGGTTTCTGTTTATCTTCTCCCCGTCTATTCTGTACATTTACTAGCTCACCATCGAACTCTGTAGAAATGAATAATACTTCTTTCTTGTCTCGCCACTTTCCAACTCCAACTCCACTTGAATATTTCATTATAACCTCACCTTTTCGCAGTTTCTTGGAAGTAACTTCAGGTGGATTACCTTTCCGGTTTTGCCTCAAGGTGCCCGTGATATGAGTTTTCCTCAAAAGCAGCTCTTTACACAGAGAAATACTATTATAATAGTTGTCCGTGAAAAGCGAATGCCCGTTCCCGAAATATTTCTCTGCGAGGCAAAAAACAACGTTTGCAGCGTGTCCTAGTTCTCCCTTCATATCTTTCTCGTCTCCAGTATATATCCTCACTTTCAAAACAAGTCCATTGGGTTCTGATAGAATGTAGAGTTTCACTCCGTATTTATGTTTTTTATTTTTTATGTATTGCCGGAAAATAAGTCTGCCTCGCCAGAGAACCATTGACTCATCTAATGAAAATTCTTTATTAGGATAATAAATTTCATCCATTCGTTGGTTGAAAAAATCTTGCAGACATCGTATCTTCGATAAACGGTCGCCATAGCCAGGATCATCTCTTTCCGGATTTTTGCAAAAATGTAGGCATCTCAAAATTGACAAAAAACGATTTCTACTCATATAATTTCTGAAACAAGGGAGATTATATAGTTCATCAGTTTTCCAGTAATCCTGTAAGCGATTTATTTGGATGTCACCCATGTGAAACCACAGTCCCAAAAACACCTCTAACGTGGCAACTGTTAAAGGTTTCCAGTCAGTTATTCTCGATTTTTCTCTAGTTTGTTGGCTCAAGAACAATTCTTCGGCACATCTGTTGGTTTCTATCACGATATTCTCGAGAAAATCTTCCGTGAAAAACAAACGAAAAAAGTCGATAGGCTCATCGGATTCCAAGTTCATTTTGAGACCAGGATTCCCAAAAATGGAAAATCTTTGAAAATATGGTCATCACTCCACGATGGTAATGCACCCTGATCTGTTTGGTCAGTGTTTGTTCCTTGAACGTCTTCACTATCTTCCCCTTCTTTTCTTGAACTAGCGCCCGGCTCTGGCTCAAGATCGTCTTCTTCACTCGAACTTGTTTCGCCCTGCTCCGGCTCGTACTCACTTTCACTTTCCACAAAGGGTTCTTCATCACTTTCAGATATATTTAGCAATTCTACTTGTTCAGCAATTGATAAAGGTCTCTTTTTTTCGTAGTCTGTTAGCCTTCTTTTAGGCCTAGATGGCCCTGGGATTCCAGCATCCATTACAGAAAGACACAAACACGATCGCGAAACCAATACAGTAAAAATACACTTTTATGCTCTAACGAGAGGCCAACGTAATATGTAGTTTCCCTGACAAAAGCCGAAGCTATACTGGAACAGTTGAGTCACTGGCAGTCAACGTGTTAAGAAAAATGCATTACCTACCAACAAATAAAAAAAAATCGGCCTATTTTTTGCTTTTTTTAAGAAGATAGGTCAAATATCAAGTGCGTCACTTTTTTTGGAACTGAGTGTATGTCACATTTGTGATTTTTTCTTTTAAAAATTTCATCCACATGGGTGCACCTTTCCCCAGAAATAATTTCATGACACGTGATACTTCTTATCAATTACCTGAGAAAAATGTTGTTTTCCTTCTGTTTTGTCATCGAATGAAATATTTGAGTCGATTTTTAAATGCCTCTGGCAGATTTAATAACTACCCCACAAAGAAAACCAATCATAAGGAAAAGTAGCCCATTTAATATAGATTCCGAAGTGGTATAACATATGGGGTTATTCAAAACAGCCTTTCTGTTATTAACTTTTTCCAAATGGGTCGCATTTTTCAGAAAAATTCAATAACTTTTGAACCTTCAACAATTTCATAACAACATATACCGTTAGTTTGATTACGAATGACCTCCCCCCCTACCACCTTACTTCGTTTGATCCATTTCTTATGGGACACCCTGTATATTTATTTCAATATCACCCTGTACTTGAGTTCAGTATGAATATACCATTTATTGTCAAGTGTCAAGTATTATGAACTGTCTATATCATAAGTTGTCTGAAATAGAATTCCGGGCAACACCACTTTATTCTTCACGACGGAATCCCCAATTCAGATTGGTTTTCGGAATTATTCTCCAAATTCAGGGTTGGAATAAGTCATGACTTTTATAAAAAAGTCAAAAAAGTCAGACTTTTTGAAATAAGTCGGACTTTTTTGAATTAATTCACTTTGAAAAGAAATCAAATTTTATTTACTTAACAAAAGAAATCTCAAATCATAACATAACATGCACTTTTTGTAAAACAATCTGAGAAACAAATGCAACTTATTAGCTTATTACCTATTCAGAATCTTCATCAGAAAAGTTAGTTTTCCGGCTTTCTCGACTCCTAGTCGGTTGCGTAGATCCGAATGTACCAACCCGAAAGATGAAAATATTCTTTCCACACCTGCGGATGAAGCTACTCCTGTCATAAGTTGTTTGATGCTATTTTCCGCTGCAGGATCTAAATCTGTTAGTGAAAATATTGACATCCACCACTCAATATCTGTCATACTTGAAATAACAGATTCTTGCATCAGGACCTCATTAAAAGGGGATAATTTTCCATGGAATCTTAACAATACCGGTAATATGTTTGGAAACTCTGCAGCTGCAGATTCCAAAGCTATTTGCTTTTCCTCTCCAGTTAAACTGATATTTTCCTTCATATTTGTTGGACTGAGCATGTGCGCAATGAAGTGGTATCTATAAACAGCTTGTGTTTATCTGGAAATAACCTTTTTTTTCGCAGTGCTGTCTAAAACATCATTTAAATCGTTTATCAATTTTTTCCAAATAACAAGAGACCTAGCAATCGTGCAATTCTCTTTTTGCATTAAATCCAGTGCGCATGATATAGGTTTTAGTCGAGCCATCAGATCTTCAGCATTACGTTTAATGGCTATGTTAGAAACCAATTTTTTTATCTCATTATCAATATTATTGCGATGTTCTTCACAAATTTTAACCAGTGTATGCCAGTTTTTCAAATATGCCTTAAGTGAATCACATGAGCTGTTCCAGCGTACCTCAATTGGCAATGGAAGTGATGATCCACCTTCAGAAGATAACAATGCTTTTGCTAAATGATTATTTCGAAAATACTTTGATTCTTACTATATTGTTCATAACTCCTTCAACATTCAAATCTTTGGCCAGTAGATTCAAAATATGAGCGGAACAGCCATATGTAATAACATTTACATCAACACTATCAACACTTTTTTGTTGTATTTGCATTCTCATTCTTGCCATATTGGCAGCATTATCTGTTACTACACTTCTTACAAAACATTTGAATTTTTTCTCAGTATCTTGAATAATTTTCAAAGTTAAACTTGTCAAATACTCACTGGTATGAGGACTACCAGGTGTATCTGTTGTGTTAACCAAAAATACACTACCATCCTCATTTACAACACATGCACATATTATGGGTTCGTTTCTTATGTTGGACCATCTGTCAATACTCAAGCAGATTGTTTTATTTTCTAAGTAAATTTGACACTTATCTAATTCCTCCTGGTAAACTTGATCCAACAAAGTATTCCCAATTACTTTTCTATTTGGAGGCTTGTATCCAGGATGTAGCATTTCCGAATACTTTATAAATTCTGGATGTTCCACAAATTTGAAAGCCGAATTTGTAGCGAATATGAATCTGGCACACTGCGTATCAAATCTATCTTTATCATTTGCTGTAGTTTTTATTACGAAGGAGTTCAATGTTTTTCGTTGTGATTTTTGGATTGCAGCTTCATTAAATATTTTGCGAATTTTTTAAGTCTGTGGTTCTGCAAAAAAAATGTAAATCAATACATTAGAATCAATAGGAAATTTGGAACTATCTTCCAACACTTCCACTTTAGATTTCAAATTAATTAAATATATTTATCTGTTTTTAAAAGCTCACCTTCTCTAGTAGATCCATCTTGTGAAGAATTTATAATTTTTCTTTTTATGGCAGCTGACGGCATTTCCTCCTCTAAGTCAGATCCACTGATATCCTGTATAGTTGTATCTGTCTTTTCAGGATCAATTTTACATTTACTTTTATGTTTTTGCATGCGACTAACCATAGCTTGCAACTTATTACCGCATGCTTTGCACACTGCTTTTTTGTTGGTTGGATTTTGTTGGTTGCACTCGTCAAAATATTTCCAAATAGGATCCCTTTTTCGTCCACTCATTTTTCACACGTTAATAAAAATATACTTTAACAGAATGTAAAGTATTAAAATAATAAAAGTTTAGAAGTCTCAAGCACAATCAGTCCCAAAAATAGCCAAATTTCATGATAAGACTATCTACCTACTCTTACTCTACATTCTACATCGTGATATTAATGCCAATGTAATGTTCTAATGTTATGCCGTTTTTCTGGGTTTCCCTCTTTGATTTCGGTTTTTCGGTTATTCCCCGACCCCGACGCGCGGACGCGGTGCATTGTATTGTTTTGTGGGCACTCCACGGTTGCCGGATGGCTAGGTTGCCATAATATTATCGGATTTTTCAGTTAAAACTAGTTTGAATCAATGTTGATAATGCGATTCGTGATTTTGAATTAATTCATGACTTTTTTAAAAAAGTCATGTGAATTAATTCATGAATTAAATCACTGAATTAATTCATATGAATTAATTCGTGCCAACCCTGTCCAAATTTAAATAAAATTTGTTGCGGCCCTTTCACTACAACTCAAGCTCTTCTTAGGTAGCTCAGCCTTTGAAATTGCATATTCTCGATTGAAAATTGAAAAATAATGTTGCTGAAAAGATATCAATACTGTTACGTTATTCGTGTGCAGAAGTGAACACTAAAACTATTTACGAACTGATTCATTCAACTTGAATAAGAAACACTTATTTCTTACAAGCTTATCATTACTATTCATTTTGAGTGGATTAAAGCATGCGGTATGCAGTCTCTGTGACACTGGCTGATTAACGGACAGCTGCTGTCCGGGTTATTCGCAGTAGCCAAGGTCATCATCTGACGTTGCAATGACATAAAAACTACGGGAAAACATGACTAACTTCCAATCTGAGTTTTAATCTTCTCCTGAAGATTTTAACATAGTCAACGAAACACGTGTCGGAGAGTATAAAATATCGGTTTGGTTAGTGGTAAAACAGTGTAGTGTACTTAACATTTATTTATTTGAATAACTATAAAAGCTCAGTCATTGCAACGAATGTGCCTAAAATGATCAACAATGGTAGATGACGGAAGAAAAACAACGTGGCTAATGCCACGCGGAACATTGAATTGCATCCTCCCGGAATCTATTCGGTGATTCGGATAAACGAATACTGATGCAAGTGTTTCTTTTCTTAGTGCAAGTGTTTCTTTCCTTAATGCAAGGGTTTCTTTCCTTAATGCCGATTGATTTCGATTTCAGCCAGGTTAACGCAACAATACCTACAAGGCGGCTAAATCGAAATCAATCGGAATTAAGGAAAATCATCATCCCGTTATCTACCATTGTTGTGTCATTTCATGAACATTTGTGGAAATGACTGAGTTTTTGTATTTATTTCACATATCATTTCACTTTAAGCATTTTGGCTATTTCGTAGTTGGAATCTATTGATTTCTTCGACTAGTAACATTTTATTTTGATATGAATAATAACCTTCGTCTAACAAGTAGGTAAATATAAAACCCCCTGAGGACACGATAGGGGCTCAGAGGTCGGTCACTAGTGACCTGGAGGCAGTCTTCATTCTAAAATAAATTAAAAGTAGAAAAAAAATAATAAAAAGCTTGTATTTAAACGCTCTAAAAAGAATAAAATGAAAATTCCCTTTATAATTTTAACTATCAACTTATAACCTCATTATACACAATATGTATGATCATGAAAGCTTCATACTCATAATTCCTTTACTAATTGATAAGAAAAGATTTTTAAATAGTTTGTTGCACAAGTGAACTTTTCCCGATTTTCTAAATTTTTCAACACTGGAATTCCACTTTTTCGAATCTTGCTGTGATAGCAATAACTACTATACGACCATATTGCTATTTGCAAAAAGAATCCACTCGAATGCCTGTTAATAATATAGCAGAGAGCGGCAAATGGAAACACTATTTCAACTACCACTACGATGCTACGATCATTTATAGAAATCCTGTACAAAACAGATTCAAAGCTAATATCATGCCAATTCCTCTGCGCACAAGCTCAACTCTTGCACATTTTAATTGGTCTAACGGATCGACTGCACGAATATTTGGACAAAAAAAATTGATGCATTTTAAACCGTATTCGAATAACTATCCGATATTTCTTTGTATTTAGGTCGAATAGACTTCGAACCTTCAGAAGGAAAAGAATTGGCATATCCTGATAAAAACCAGGTTATAATTCTCAATGTATCGGACTGGTCTGAAAAGGCTACATTGATATGCAATGAAGTATCTGCTCCATATTCGATCGTCCAGTATTCTCCTTGTGGAAAATTCATCATAGCAACATCTCTGGAAGGTGACTTCGTGGTGTGGGAGGTTGGTACTCAAGAAGTTGCCAATGTGAGTAAACATACGAAGTCAATAGCGATTTGTGGATTAATGTGGAATCCAAAAGGTAAATAGTTACAAGATTTTATACCAATCAGTTTTCATCCATACATTATAGTTCGATGAAGTCTCTTGTAGGAATGCAGAAAGCAATGTTCATTTGTCAAATTGTCAAATACATTTTTTTCTCTCTTTTCTGACAGTAGTACAATATATTTTGTATTGAATAAATTAGATACTTGTATTGTGTGGAATTTTTGTTTTGCCATAATTTTTCTTCAATTTTTTCTTATGTGAAATATCGCATTTGGCACAGAAGCTCTGATAAACTCTTCAATTTAATAAATAATCGAGATGCCCAGCTCACGTCAATCAATCAAACCAATGATTCTGGAAATACATCTCTATTTGACATTTTCTAAAATCATCAATTTAATACCAATTATTGTTTTTTAACGACAAAATAAGAAATTCTTTGACATAACACTGTCACATAGAAAAATCATCTCAATTTCAGGTAACGGCGAAATTGTATATACAGACGTTGAAGGTCAGTTAGGAATTATAACAGAATCAGTAAAAGGTATGACAAACGATGGGCCAGAACAGATGAACACCGACGAGATGGAACTTGCAGATAATGATGTCGATTTCACTGGCGTCAATTTTGAAGAAGACAATGACGAGGATAATGAAAATGCGGTATCTTTAGAACAGTTGAAGAAACAGTATAATTTAGGGGAACCAGATGATGAGTTACAGAAACTGGAAACAGGTGAGTATTTTTGCTTACTATTTCGTCAATGTAAAGATGTCATGAGAAAAGTCTATGAGAAGATTCCATTATACATGAGAAATCACAATAAGTTCTGTAAGAACAAGGTTATAAATTTAATCCTGCTATAATTAGCTTACGAAATTATTCGACAAATATTGCATAATTCTATTACCAGTTTAATGACCAATATGCGTCCTAATATATAAGAATAACGATCATCATCAATCTGCTCGGATTCTTTACACCACTTGATGCCCAGGAACTCGAATGTGTACACTTTTGATGCCAGAATATTTGTGATAACAACCGTTCACAATGCCAAGGTGCTGTCGGTGTGAATCCGGCTCATCTGAGCATTTTTCTTAAATATTGTTTATATTCTGGCCGCACCTCGGCGCCCTAGTAGTTCTTCGGATTCCACTATACGCTATAGGTCCCGGTATTCCCGCACAACTTTCGATTTCTTCGGAATTGGTTCTCAATTTCGATGTATATTCAAACTATACCCTGAAAAAGATTTTTATTTTTGAAAGATGGAATCTTGGTAGTTGAATGAATAATAAATTGAGCCAATTCGTTGAAGAAAAATACAAAAACTTCAGTAATTCTAAATCCAGATAATTAATGTACTGAACTGCTTATTGGACAGTTCCATGAGAAACTTCGACATCGAGGAATAAACCTTGTATCGAATGAGTTACGCCGGAGATGTCGGATAATCAATGGGAGAGCAGCGATGGAAGCAGTTATTAAGGTATGCTAATTTTACAAGATCCAGAGAGATGGGACAGCTCCCTAGGAAAGCTTACACGGGAGGTGAAGGCCTTCGCAAATGTGGGCATAGATTATTTTAGACCATTTCAGATATCAGTCGGCCAAAGAAGGGAAAAGTGAAGAGGCTTGTTATAGGCATTTATTCACTTGTCTTGCTGTCAGAGCTATATATCTGCAAATCTTTCACACTTCGAATACAGATGATTGATACAATACAGATTGATAACCATTACCAGACCCATCCACTTTTTCCATTGTACCAGCAATATAACATTGTTTTCGTTTTGGGGGCGAAGGAAGGAGTGATTCTTCGGAACAACCACTGGAGGAAAGGATCTTCAGGATCCTCTTCCTTTTATAATCTCCTCCCTTTCCAGATGCCAGGTCATGGGTTTCTTCGGCTGTTTAAGCTTTATTTCGTGCTCTTTTATGATAATCTGAAATAAGTTATGTTATAGTACAATACAGTGTGTCCCACTTACCATGCTCACCATGGGTATCTTTTTAACGGTGAGAGATACGAGGTCGGTTGTTATCAACACAAAACTATTACTGCGACATATCATCTGTAAGAGAAAAAAAAGTTATTTTTAACTAAGTCATAGTGAGCTTTGACCTACATTTGAAAAACAAAAGTTGGTGCTGATATCCCAAATTCTAGAAGAGTTGGTAAAAATTTCATATTTTTTTCGAAATCACTCTGAAAAACTGCCATGAGAATGTGAAATTTCTATTTGAATATTTTCATGAATAAAGAAGTTACGGAGGAGACATGAAAATGATTAAAATCTGTTTTTTGCGTATAAAACAAAAACGAATAGATTTTATCAAAATATTTTTTCACATTATAGTTGGCCTTGACAAACTCCACATTTGGTGTCATTTAACCGACCTCGTATCTCTCACCGTTAAAAAGATACCCATGGTGAGCATGGTAAGTGGGACACACTGTATACAGGGTGAGTCATGAGGAACTGTACATACTCCTACCACGAATAGAGGCCCCTGAGGGGAATGTCTAATGACCATCAGCAAGTGTAATCTTCTCTTCTTTACCAATATATAGGGTGAATTATGAGATTTGGCAAAAACATCTTTTGGATATAGCTTACGAACAGCTTCTTTGATTCGTCTGATTTTTTCATCGAATATTCCACTACTACTCTCTAATCGAATGACTCATTCAGAATCGGAAAAATCCAGGACCGTTCTTGAAAAATTTTGATAGTTTAGTTAACCGCAAAAAGTTCATCCTGTATATCGTTTTTGTAAACTGTGACAGGGAATTTCCAAAGGTGACAAACAAACATCAGGATTAAAATACTCCTCACACTTTTTCTTTAGTTTGAAAAAAACTATGAATTTTATGAAAATACGAAAATTTTGCAAAAAATGTAATACTTCGCAACCCATTAATTTTACGAATAAAAGGGGGATTTACATTTTCAATGCTTCAGCTCGATGTAAATCAACATATTATTTCATCTTCAGGCCTGGATTGAGTAATTAAATTTTTTTGTGGAGGATAATAATCACCCTGTAGATCTTTTTCGAATCAGTGGATGGGGTATCTGTGAAAATGTTGATGGCCATCGCTATAGATAATCTTATGATTTCAATTCACAGTATTATCTATTCGATTCGTTTTATTCAGTTGATTTGGTCACTTATTTTCCGTACTAAAATTATTATCCGCCTTTGACAGTGTAACCTTTGAAAAATAATTGTGAATAAACCTTGATTTTCTGTTCGACTATCTTGAATTATTTGAATCGATGACTATGATAGAACAGATACCCCATCCACTGAATCGAAAAATATCTACAGGGTGATTATTACCCTCCACAAAAAATGAAATGACGAAATCCAGGTCTGGAAATGAAAGAATATGTTGATTTCAATTGGACTAAGATATTGAAAATGTGAGTCGCACTATTTCGGCGGTACGACTGAATGAATGAGGTTAAAGTTGAAATGATCTAAATCGACAGACCATCTAGACAGTGACAGTGACAGGTTCGACACGAACTAAGAAACACAAGAACTTAAAAATTGATGTAAGACAATTAATGACATAGACTAATATGGCAATGCAATTTTATAGAACCAGTCCTCAGATGAATCCCCATCAAACCACCCACTGTCTGATCTCCTATAACACTTTCCTGGTGGTCCACCCTGTATCCATTCCGGATAAAGATTTTTTGATCGATAAACGACATAGATAGGGAGTAGAAAGCCATCTGCAGCTGCAGAAAACATGACAGATGTGGAAGTCTTGATGGATGTTTACATCCTTTTCTCACTATTACACGTTGGTTTCCAGGGTCGTCAGTCAGATTGGTTTCATCATAATTTACAATGTTCATAGGGGAAACATTTTCCAAATTTACTGTTGAATTGTCAAAATAAACATTTATGGTCTCATCATTAACATCAGCTCTACAGCGCTTCAGATTCTCAGACAACCTAACTGACAATTCTTTATTGCGCTTTAATGAATGTCTTACCCAATCAAGCCCTGGTAAATTTTCCTTGAAAATTCTGATTGTGACTCCCTTGTGGTTCAGGTAACGCACTACAAATAATCTTAGATCTTTACTTGTGAAAGGATGGCCAAAGGAAGCAGCAGTTGTTAAGGCTTTCATCAAAGATTTCTCTTCAGGAACTGTTAGAACAGTCGGATGTCCCAAGAGGTTCGGATTCTAGCCACGATATCTTTTAAATAATGTAGTTCTAGGAACTCCAAATCTTGAGATCTTGAGAAAATGAATAAGTCCCATCTACTACAGCTTCAAGTGCCTGCCCCATTTTCTGTGGATTGTAATCCATCCTTTTTGCTGAACCAAGTTGTCTTTTATACTTTCGCCGCATAATTCCAATTTACCCTACAAAAATTATTTTTTTCTGTTATGACATGATTTTGATTCTTTACATCGAAATATGAACATTTTTTTTTCGAGGAAAGTGTAGTTGGGAGCAAATGAGACAAGTTGCCTATTCGAAAGGACCCAAGAATCTCTTGATTACAAATCGTGTGGTTATAACCTCAAATAATTTTGAAATAGACTCAAAGTGTCAAATCTCGTTGAATCAAAATCCCATTTTCTCAAATTGTCAAGATTTAAATTCATTGGCATGAAACATTACCGAATTGGCACCGGATTAAAAAAGTACCTGTTTGTTCCAAGTAGTCCCATTCTACGATAACTTAATTTCACCGATTTGCTCATTTACATAATTCCTAGGGAAGAACGCAGTGTAATTGAGTCTCACATAGTGAATTTGATATACATACGATTATTCATTAACGAACTGACAAATACATGATAAAATGAAAAAAGCACAATAAATACCGGAAAAGCACAATATTTCTTAAGAGTTATTACTGGATTTTTTAAAAATTCTGTGAATATCCTGCAAAATTTCACAGATAAAATACTGTGTTTCCCCACCAATTTTTATGAGTGAACTCAAGCAAGTGAGATAAAATCATGGGATCACTTGATTGTACCCATGTACGTGTTTCTATAGGCCGAAAAGTCGTTTCATACTGAACAGTACGTGTCTTCATTGGTGATAATCTGAATCATGATGAATTTCCTTGTTGAAATGGATATTCAATTCGCGTATAAGGAAGTAGAAAAAATATTTTGGTAACTCATTCTGGTATCCACAGCTACGATACAAGAAATAAGGATTCATACATTCTATTAAATTTCAACATGAATGTAAACCTACTTGATGTTTTCTACACAGGAACTAAAATCTAGATAATATATAAATATTCTAGCATGAACTGAAATCTCCTCCATGTTTTTTATAGTATCAATGAATTTTACCAGATAAATAATAATAATAATAATAATAATATAAGTTTATTCAAAAACGTTTTCAAAATATACATTGGAATAAACATATAGGTAATTTGAATAAACTGGGAAAAACCTTACGAAGTTAACCTTGTAGTAAGGATAAAAAATAAATAAATGTACATAGGTCAATAAATATTCAACAATATCAAATTATCACAAGGGAAAATTCTCATAATTTATAGTGTACTGAGCATCTCATTCAATACGCATAATTATTCATGTTCATACATACTTATTCACAATTATTATTAAAATTTATCTAATGATATTATTAAATGTTAATTAAAGGAATGAAATAATTTTTAGGGGAGTTTAATATCCAGTTTTTTATTTTTATTGTATAGGATTGTAGTGATTTTGTTTTTATAATATCATTTGGAATTTTATTATATAGGTAAGGAATTAAAAAATTTATAATTTCTACTTCCAAATGACTTGTTTGTTTTATATTTCAATGTTATGTTATTTTTATTTTTTATGTCATAGATATGTTTTTTGAACTGAATGTCCATTTTATTTTTAAAAATATGAATCAGTAAATTGTATATATAGAGTTGATTTATATCGATTTTCTTAGATTCCTTATATAAAAGTTCAGTTGGAAACAAATAATCTTTTCCATAAATAATTTTTAAAATCCATTTTTGTGCAATTTCCAATTTTCTCAAATATATCTGCTCCACTCCACCCCATCCTAATATCCCATAAACTAATTGAGATTGAACTAAAGCATAGTATATCATTTCTAAATTTCGAATATTTAATAAGTTTTTCAAATGTTTTAATTTAGGAATGAGGCATCTTATTTTCTTAGTGACATAATCAATATGATGATCCCATTTCAGATTATTGTCCACCATTATACCAAGGTATTTGATACAGTCAGTTTCCTGAATTTCAATTTCTCCATTTATCTTGATAGTGCCTAAATTTGGTTGAGAATCCTTATAGGGAGTAATTGTCATATATTTTGTTTTTTCAAAATCAATTGTTTATTAATTCTGATCAAACCATTCTTTAATAATAGGAAAATCATTGATTACTTTTTTTTTCGATTCACACCAATCTTACGCAGAGTAAAAGATAACAGTATCATCTGCGAAAGAATGTATAGTACCAGCTGAATTTAGTTGTTGTAAGTCATTCAAATAAATATTGAAAAAAAGTGGACCTAAAATACTTCCTTGAGGAACACCATACTCAAACAATTTCGGATCGCTGTGTATTTTGTTGTTTTCAGCATGTTGAATTCTATCAGAAAGGTAGTTTAGTATTAATTTGTATCCAATCCCACGAAATCCAATATTTTCCATTTTTTTTAATAGGAGCTCATGACTAACTGTATCAAATGCCTCAGCTAAATCAAGAAATATACAGAGAGTTGTTTGTTTTTCATCAATAGATTTATATAAATTATTAGTCAAGTAACAAATAGCATGTTGTGAAGAAATATTTTTTCTGAACCCAAATTGTTGATTCGACAAAAAGTTCAATTTACTTAAATAGTTGTCAATTCTATGCTTTAGTATTTTTTCAAAGACTTTTGTCAAAGTGGATATGAGAGTGATTGGTCTATAATTTTTAATTTTGTCATTATTTCCATTCTTATAGATTGGTTTAATAACTCCAGTTTTGAATAATTTTGGACAAATTCCTGTTTGGAATATAATATTTATAAGGTAAGCTAATGGTTTGCTTATTATATTTGATAAAGCTCTCAACATTTCGGATGTTATTCCATCTATACCAGGGCATTTCTTCAATTTCAAACTAAATATTGTATCCTCAACTTCCTTCTCATTTGTTTCCTCTAAGAAAAATGTATTTTTTGTTCTATGGTGATATGGATTGACTGATACTTTCGATTTAATTTTCTTTTCTAGTTCTTTTCCAACATTACTATAGTATGAAATAAATTCATTTGCAATACTTTTCTGGTCAGATATCATTTCACCAGTATTCGATTTGACTATTTTTATTTCATTACTCCTGATGTTATCTCCACATATTTTTTGATGCACTTCCAAAGATTTCCACTTGATTGTTTGTTCTTTTCAATTTCATTTTTGTAATACTGTATTTTTGCATTATTAATGATGTTTGTTAATTTATTCTTATATCTCAAATATTGTTCTTTTAATTCATCATCTTCCTTATCTGTTTGTAACGTTTGATAGAGGAATTTTTTTTATTAACAGAGTTTAATAATGCTCCTGTCATCCATTCTTTTCTTCTCTTATTTTTCATTTTGACAGATCTAGTGCTGATATCAACACAGAATTTCACTTTATTAGTGAGTTCATTAGCTAAATCATCAGAGCATTCAAGTTTATAATAATCATTCCAGTTAATTTCCATGAAATTGTCATATAATGTTTTATAATCAATGAAATATTTCCTATTGCAATTATTTATGTCTGTATTACAATTTTCACAGTTAATTTGAAGAATTATTGGATAATGATCTGTAATATTATATTTATAAATGATTGGATGAAAAATGTTGTGATTATCCTTAGATCTTATGAATATATGATCCAAACAAGACTTTTGATCTCCTACTACACGTGTAAATTTATTAATTAATGATTGGAAGCCATATTCACTCAGTATGTTACAGTATTCATTAGCATAATCCCTATTTGAGAGAATATCAATATTCAGGTCACCAATTATAATTGTATTTTCCTTATTCAACTTTCGAATATCATTCAAAATTATTTGAAATTGAAAATTGAAATCATATGGGCTAATAGATGGAGATTTGTAAATAGCAAATATATTGAGAATATTGGTTTTGCTTTTATATATCTTGATATGAATTACCTTTAATAAACCTATTGAAATGATTTCATGATTATTACTATTTTTATTCTTGACATATGCTATAACACCATCATTTTGATTTAAACTCCCGTTATTGTAAATTAAATCGTAACCATCCAAATTAAATGAGTTTGTATTCGAAAGTTGAAAGGTTTCCGTGAAAATGATCACATCAAATTCTTCCAACTGTTTTATTAGTAATATTTCTTCATTAAAATTTTTATTTATGCTGCGAATATTATTATGAAAAATTGTGAATTCACTTTTATTTATTATTCTGTTTTGCTTATAATTTAAGAAATGTTCAATCAATTTTGTATCAACGATACTATCATCCAGCCTTTGAATATATGAATCCATAAAAAAGAAAAATTCATAAAAGTTATGTGATGAAATAGTCAAATGAAGAATGTATCAATGAGTTTCCGCCAATTTTGTTATATCGCTTTCATCATTTATAATGATAGGTTTTTCATTTTCATTTTTTCTGACGCAAATTTTACTATTTTTCCACCATATATACTTATAATTCGACCTCAACAATTCCTTAGTTTTTCCCAATAAGTATTTGTTCCTTTTCGTCAGTTCTTCATTAATATATATTATAGTTCTTCTAACTTTAATTCCCAAATCTTCAGTTGATAGAGCACCATTCAATTTGAAATATTGTTTCGCGGCATTTGCAATCTTGAATTTTGTTGCCTCATTTTTTAAACTGATTTTTATTAATTCTTGAGAATTCTCAAATATCTTCTTTATTCTTTTTATATTTACGACTTCTCTAGATTCTTTCTGGATGCCAATTTCGAAAAATACTTTCTGGATAATTTCTTCGTCATCAATATCTTGTTGTTCTGGTATACCTTTGATTTCGATGTTATTCTTAAGTTCAATTTGTTCATTTATGTCAATCTTTTGTTTCAATGATGAAATTTCATATTTTATATTAGTGATTTCCTTCTTCAGTATTCTATTCTCTTCTGCTAACAAATTTCTCTCTTTTTTAATTTCTTTCAAAAGTGTAATTATTTCTTTATTTTCTTTTTTCACATCATCATAGTTTGCTGCCATGAATTCAATGGTCCGTTGCAATTCCAACACAATCCCTGTTAAATATTCCAAATTATTGCCTGAATTATCATTTTTAGAATTTTGAACTGGTTCACAACATTCATGGCATTTCCATCTTCTCCCATTTGGTTTTTTCAGTTCTTTTGAAAATTCGTCGAAGTCCTTCGTTTCTAAACGACTACACTTCAGATGATACCATTTGTTACATGCCCCTTTACATTCTATTGCACTCTGATTAGATTTTACATTTAAATTGCAGCTTCCACAAGGATACTGATTAGATGATCCAGCACTAATCTTGTGTTGGTTATTTACAATGAATGAATTTATTTTATTTGTGGTTTTACCACTACACGGGTATTTTAATGGGAGGTATCCATCTTCATCCTCTGATGAATCCTGATCGTCTAATGGATTTGAAATAGCTATTGATTATTTTCTTCCCATATTGAATTAGTATTAATTTTTGACAATTTATGTCAGTTGATTACTTCTGCTAAGTTATTTTTCTTGATTTATCCTGTTTTTTATGATTATTCTTCTTGGCGTAGTTCACATAATATGAATAATTCCATCAAATCATGTTAACTTGGAAATTGGTAAAAGAGGATATACACTCAGGCCACCACACTCTACCGCCTTAGGATTTATACATTTCCTATGATTTCAGCATCTTCCCGTTCTCCCACACCAAGACCACGTACACCGCAAGTTCCGTTACAGCCATCCTTCATGCCCTCATCAACACCTGAACATTTGGATCCACGTTATTTGTGCTGGAATGATGTGGGTGTCATCAGGTGTTATGGTAACAACTCCGATGAATCGACATCGAAGTCTATCGAGGTGGAGTTTCATGATACAACTTTTCACAGCAGCATGATGATGCAAAATTATCAGGATTATACGCTGGGATCCATCAGTAAATCAGCGCTTGTTGTCGCAAATTCTAGGTAAATAATTTAGAAGGAGACGGGAAGGGCGTGGTTGCATGCATTCATATCTTCTCAATTATTGACCAGAAAAAATTTTGCTTTCAAAGAACTCGATTCAGTCTATAGCTATAATTGAATCCCTTGATAACAAATACATTCGGCCTGCGCTTCTTAGATTCACGCTATTCTGTCGGTCGCCATTTTATCAGACGCCATTTTAGTACTGGTCTTTATTTTATCAATCGATGTTCTGTTGAGCAACATTTGTACACGGATCTTTTGAATCAAGAGTTTCAAAAAATTCTCTTCATTACACTATACAATTTTTAGTCAGATCAATGTGATTCCCCTTGCCGCAAGTTCGAAAGAGTGGTCCCTGAAAGTAGAGGAGAACGAAGAAATAACCCTGGTGGCGGCGTCCGAAAACTTGATTTGCTTCGCTATGGCCAATTATATCATTAGAGTGGCCCTGGTTTACGGCAGCCAAAGGGGCGTTATATCTGTACCCGGGCCGATAGTATCGATGGCCTCGTTCAAGAATTTCCTGATGGTAGCCTATCATACATCAGGGGTGAGAAATGGCGATCAGTGCATCAATATCAGGTAATTCCACTGAGTTCTCATTTTTCCGTGAAATGCCCATTCATGCATACAGAGAAGTGCAAGAAAAACGGCCACTGCTCTATCTTCTGAATCATTCGAGGTCGGATTTTTTAAATTTGGTGGGTAGCAAGTGTACTAAATTGACTTTTATTGACAGAAGATATTCATTTTATCTCTTTCAGTTCAACCGAAAGCAACATCAACTTTTAATTTTCAAATAGGACACCTTAAATATTTCAACATTTTTATTAAAGAAATTTCTGGGGTGTGTAAGAAGATCCACTGAATCCAAACATGGGAAAATATACAGGATGTTCTATTCAAGAATCAATAGTAAGAGATGCTTCTGGTTGAACCGGAAGTGAGGAAACAAATATTTTTGATGCCAAAATATGGAGGAATTTGGTATACTTGCTACCCACCAAATTTCAGTATATGATCTCGAATGAATCAGAAGTTACACCAATCTCCATCCCTTCAACTCTTGTATCAACAGTTATCAAACAGTTTTACAAAATGGAACAGATTTTTGTGCATCAATTCAGACAGGTGATAGCTGATAAGAATTCGCAAGATAAGGAAACTATTTTCGATTATTATACTTATAAAAATGCACCATAACTAGCATATTATACGGAGTTACGTTTGATTAAAAGTAGTGCATCATTTGATAACTAAGGAAATACAACAGTAATCTTATTCAGATACACACACAGTCTTTAGATGTAGTAAAGCCATGTCAATAGTACAGGTTTGAAATAGTTACAGAAATTAGTAGGCGCCGGCATAAGTGTTACCTATTCCATTTATAATAATAAGTAGCACGCCACTCAATTGAGATAAATTCACTGAATTGTTGAAGAGAAAAAATTTTTGACCAATTTTGACAAACGAGCTGTTTTGATTTATTTGTAGTTCAATTATTTCCTAGACGCGCATAATAAAGGATAATTTTACCGGCCACCAAACAAACTAAACATAGTTGGTGTCCCGAAAGAAAAGGTATTGCCGAGGACCGAGCATCCATTGAAAACGCACTGTTGAAAGGCAGGTTCAGACGCTTGAAGTATCTGGAACGGTATGATATGGGTGAATTAGTCAACACGATTATAGCCTGCTGCACTCTTCACAATATTTGCATTGCTGAGGACGAAGAAGTCCAACAATTTTTACAGGAAGGATTAGTTGACGTTGATGCAATTCACGACGCTGATGACTCATGGCAACCGTGTTCAACAAAATCAAGAAAATCATAGGACTATTGTTATTGAATACCTATGGAATTTAAGAAACAATTGATGAGTTCTACAATTTCATCACAGAGGGATCTATAAAACATTTGCTTCAAGCATTAATTTCAATAATTAAATCAATGTATCCTTAACATCAAAATAAAAAAAATATATATGAACAATGCATTTATTCACATCGCATAGGTACATACTTATATAGATGTTCTGTTTATACCTGAATTGAATAATATTACTTACTTACTTACTATTTCACATAACAAGTTGATAACAAACCACACACAAGAATGTATCTGAAGTGAATACCTATAGTAGCATAGACTATACAAAGGATTGCAAAAATAAAAATTATTTTTAGAACTATACCTATTTCAATAGACAGCATTTCAATGTCCATCATCATTATTCATTTTCTTCAATATTACCTCCATAAAAGACTTTAACTCTTCATGTTGATTTTTTCATCTTCCCTCTCTGCATTTCTTCTCTCATGTTCTTTCAAGAAATTCAATAGTTCAGATCTAACATTCCTTTTTTTTCTATCCCCTTTCACTCTCTTATTTCATGGGGTATGTGTTTCTTCTACATGTTTCTTTTTTTTTTGCTGAAAAAAAACAATTTTTGGTGTAGACAACTTTGGGGATTTTTTTATTATGGTAAAAAATAATGTATCTATGAATATTTTCGAAACTACACATTCCACAACCTAAAATTGTTTTGCAACTAATGTCATCTATATCAACTGAGTTGATATGGATTACATAAAGATAATGTAACAGCATACCCTGTAATTTTTGTTTGAGTTGGTTACGTAAGTTATTATCCTGGTTGTCACCTGATTCTAGCATTTGGACACTAGAATAACCAGCAATGGGATTGATATTAGGGCGCTCCTCTAATAGTTCTGTTATGTCAAAATATGGCCAATCTCTTCTATCGTTGCCTGATTGACTATTATGATCTTTTATCTCTTTAAACTTCTTCAATAAACTCTTCCAACGATTTTCAACTTATGAAGTTGTTGGAGAATGCATGTCTTTACTCTGCACCTCCATTTCATTACTGATAGATTCGATCACTGTTCTTTTTTAATCCTTGGATCATCGAATTCTGATTTGTGAGACCAGTCCAACCTCTTCCTAAAAAATATAAATAATTGAGTCACTGAAGTTGATCAAATATTAGTGGTTCATTTTTTTGATTGTATGACTGCAGAAGAATTCTACCAGATCGCTAGTTTTCCACGTGTAATTGGAGCTATCGACTGCACATTGATTCAAATTGACTCAGTTGGAGGTGTTGAAGCAGAAATATATCGTGCCGAAAAGGATATTTCATGCCATGATCAGACTATTTTCAATAATAGCAGGGTTGAAACAACAATTTGAAGATGGAAGATATATTCTATTGGGAGATAGTGGCTACCAGCTCGAACCATATCTTATGACAAAACTGATTCGAGTGGAGAATGAAAGCGAAAATCTTTATAATGAATCGACTATTAGAACAAGAAATACTGTCGAAAGAAAATATGGAGTGTGGAAACGACGTTTTCCTGTATTGCATTTAGGAATGAGGGTCAAGTTGGATACTGTGATGTCCATAATCGAAGCTACTGCAGTATTGCATAATATGGCAACTTTTCTCAAGAATGGTTGGATAATTTGGATGAAATTCAGATAGAAAATAATGTAAACAATGTAACTGATATTCCTCATAGAATGGCAGCATTGAATGCTCAGCAATTAATTATTAGAGAACATTTCGCCAATTTATGAAAATTCATTTTACCAACATATATTATATTAAAACATTTTTTCTATTTAATGCATTTTTTTCTTTCACCAGAATCAGCTCTTCTCTTCTGATGTCAAATCTAATTTCAACAATTCCATTTTTCCTTTGTGATTCTCTTATTCTCTTCGATCTGCATTTTTTCTGAACTGGCTTTCTTCCTCCATCAGTTTAATTTTTTTCTTGTATTACTCCTCTTTAGTAACTGCGAGAGAACTAGCTGTAGGTAGCAGTTTTCGGTTAACAGGCTCTTTCAACTTTCTAGGTGTGTAGCTATCCCACTATTATAATCAATATATTACTATTCTTGATATCTTTTGATAATTATCATTGATATACGTACTTTCACATCATTGTTTATTGGTGCCTGTAATCCTGAAGATTTTTTCTTATCCCTTTCTGGCAAGAGTATTTTTTCATGTTCATCATCCTGGAATATAATGTTCAATATAGCATACAATATAATATATCAGCTGTTTTGAGAAATTCACCTTCAAATATGGGACAGAATTCCTTGTTTCTTCTATGTCAGACCTCATAATGTTGTCGCTTATTCCAGCCAAGTCTTCTTCAGGCATTTGCCATACTACGTATCGATAGAAGAAACTATCCACCTCAGGTTTCTCTATACAAATATACTATTTTTTAAATACATACTTCTGCTTGCTCTATCAAATTACAAGTTGTTTCTCCCACTTTTTCAGATTCGTTGCTTTCCTTGAATACAAATTCAAAAGCGAATCATATAATGCAATAATATCAAAGTTTTAAATATTACCATATTGTTCGCATCACTATCGAATGTATTTGTCAATCCCACAACTGTTTTTTCATTAATAATTTTCAGAAGTAGAGAAATGATATCAAAATTTTTCATGATTGCACCACCACCGCCTGTTCTTCTCAAATGGCATGAGCAACTACTTTCCGGGTTTTTGTTTTCAAGTTATCAAATTTTGATTTCAGTTGGTCTATATTGCAGAATTCCGTTGATGCCGCATTGTAGACTATCACTATACGACTCCAAGCCTTATCCGGTAATATATCAATATACATTTTCAATCTCACTTCCACAATCGGTAAGTTCAATCATAGATTAAATCCAAAATTGATTTTTTGTTCTAGAAATTGAACTCACCAGATCTCCAACCCATTATCATTGTGTTGACTTACTTTTTCCTGAATGCTATATTTATTGGTTTCTTCATTCTAAATAATATCACGCCCGGCATAAATTGCATTTAGCAAGCGAATTTCGTCTTCTTTAGTGAATGGCGTACTTTTTTCCTTTTTGGTTTCGACTGCGTTTCTGTGCTCATTATTATGATGCAGTTTATAATTGAAACTCAATGTGACAAATTCAATTGACAACGTCAGATGTGTGAAAATAGTTCATTCAAACCAAATTTAGTGCCGTCGATATGACGAAAAATAGATATACGAATCTTTAGGTGAAGGAAGTTTGCTTTCATTTTATGGAACCCATCAGACTTTTTGGCGATATCAAAGTTGACTTTTTGATACAGTCGACTTTTTGTGAAGTTACTCTTTGATGACATTTATGGAACCGGCCGTTTAACCTCTCGTGGTATCTTTTTCGATAATTCTGTTCTGTATATCTGAACTAGTGAGTTTGAAGTACAGCGAAGTGCACAAAAAACGGCCAGTGCTGCAACTTCTGAATCATTCAAGATTGGATTTTGAAATTTGGTCGGTAGCAAGTTTACTAAGTTGCTCATTATTTGACGAGAAAATATTTGTTTTATCACTTCCGCTGGAACCGGAGGTAACCCAAACTTTTGATTTTTAATAGGACAAAATATCGAAATATACAGGTTGACCTATTCAAATATCAAAAGTTGGGGTTGCTACTGGTTGAAGCAGAAGGGCAATTTCGTATACTTCCTACCCACCAAATTGCCTTTTATCCTTCTTTCATTAACAAGAAATAATTATTTTATCACTTCTGTTCAACCGGAAGCAACCCCAAATTTTTATTTTCAAATAGAACAACCTGTATATTTCGATATTTTCATCAGAAAAAGGTCCTAGGATATGTAAAATGTTCCCCTGGATCAAAAAATGAAAAAAAATATACATTTAAAAATCAAGAGTTGGAGTTACTTTCGGTTCAACCGGAAGTGAAAAAACAAATATTTTATTGTCAAAGAATGAGAAATTTGGTATATTTGCTACCCACCAACTTCCAAAATCCGATCTCGTGTGACAGTAAAAATGGAATAAAGTTTATTTTTCTTAAATACTTCATCATATGCTGGGTACATTGTTTCAACTACAAATCCTTCCTTTTTAGACTATGAAAATAAGTGGAACTTGCTGTTGATCCTCTTATGGAAGTGACTACCTAACTGCTCCTTTATTTTTTCGCCCAGTTCTCTCTAACTTTTAAATCCATCAATTGTGGAAACTTGTTCTTGGATTCTTCAAAAAGTCTGCATCTTGCTAAACTGTGCTACAACCAAGGATATCAAGTGAAATATTATTTGATCTCTTGGTCAAGGTACCTATATGTATTGAGTATTCGTTATGACAGATTTGATTCAAGAGTTCATCAATATAGTGGAATAATGTGCTCTGTCCTTGAGGTGATAATAGGTAGCTTCTTGACTGTTCGTTGACTGATGCGGAAGTTAATAACTCTTTTATTAGAATACAACCATCATGTTATTCATCACTGATTCAGCAGTAGATGAAGTGACCTCTACTAGGTTTAAAAACCAATTCTGCACTCTGCCATCTTTCCAGTATCGTACAATGACTGTAAGTGATTTTGTTTGTACTGACATCAGTTGTCTCGTCAATGATAGAAAAATATTCAGTTTTCAAATCAAGGTATAGTTCTTTCCTAAATGCAGGAGCCATAAACCCAACTATCAATTGAGTTGCTTTCATTTCTTTCATATATACATTATGTGCTATTCTTGAATCAGTATAGATAGTTTTATTGAAGGAGGGCAAGCAATTCATAATAATGCCAAATTTTTATCACAAATGAATGCACACATTCTCAATTCCCCTTCTTTGACTAGCTGAAATTCCTTTTGTACATCTGGATTCAATGTCTCAGTGATTTGCACATATTTTTTGCAGCCTCTACATGCTTGATATGTGAGTACTTACTTTCATGTCTCTTCAAGTGAAATTTTCCTCCTTTGGGTATTGCACAATTTACAAAAAATACATTTCTTCCGGGATCAATCCTATTATAAAATTTGTAAAGTTTTTCAGTGTTTGGGATATATAATTTTTTAAATTGTATTATGAACTCTATCTTCTTAAGCATTCAAATTATGCTGACTGGTTTTATCCTCAATCTCAATATTTTCGATGTCACTTGGTAAATAATGATTAGTTGTATTATTAGTTTCAGTTTCAAAATCATTAATGTCCGTTTCAGTATCAGTGGTAATATCTGTTTCATGTTCAGTAGAAGCACTAGAAACTGATGATGCATTTTTCTTGATGGTGAACAGGAACCTATGGAATTTGATTTTTATTAAATAGTGTTATTTTTTATATTTTTGGCTATCTCACCTATCCATTTTCCGGAGTAGGTCAGGTCGTAGAGTAGCTCTCATTATACAGGGTGTTTCATAATTGAATGCTTATCCTGAAGGGCGATAATCCTTGGATGATTTTAAGGAAAATTCTTCATGTGAACATAGGTCATTAACAGCTTCGTTTCTGAGATACAGGATGTTGAAATTTAACAAAAAAATCAGTTATTCCCCAATAACTCTGAAACCGCTCTGGCTTTTTTCTTCAATTTTGGTACATGCCAAGTATAAATAGGAATACATTTTTTCCATAATGAAGGATTTCTTAATTTTCATCAGTGGCGTCCCTGTTAGCATACCCTGTCATATTTTTCATCAAAATAATGATACGCCACTGTCTTTTTTCCAAATAAATATCATTTTTGTAATTATCCTCTATCTTCTCATAAAAATGGTCTCTTGTCTTTTTTTCGTCCGGCGAACGGTTTTTGAGTTAGAAAATGAAATGCATTCATCTGCTTGTCCCTATTCGATTTTTACTGTTAGTCATAATTTCACAATTGTGGTAACCAAAAGATCTAAGCAATATTTTTATGATTTTATGGTAACTATTTTGAAGTTTTTGATATGAAGAAAAAAGCCAGCGTTTTCAGAAATATTGGGGAATAACTGATTTTTTTTTTAAATTTCAACATCCTGTATCTCAGAAACGAAGCTGTTAGGGACTTATGTTCACATGAAGAATTTTTCTTAAAATCATCCAAGGATTATCGCCCTTTAGGATCAGCATTCAATTATGAAACACCCTGTAAATTATTATATTATCAAATTATCGTTATATTATTCACATGACGTTTTGATGAGCGAGATGCGTCAGACGCGAGGCGAGAGTGACAGTGAGAGTCCCCTCCCGCTGTGCTGACTGATGACACACCATTTGACATGACATATAAATCGTAGAATCACGCAATCACGGATCAACAAACAAACATTTTCATAGAATTTTATTTTTATAGGTATTTTAGTATTTTGGTGTGGCGTGACTTTTTTTCAAGTCCACATGACGTGTGGAATTGAAATACTCTAATAATTGTCGAATTTTACAGTGTTCTACAGATTTTTTTACTGTATTGCCTTGGTACAGTTTTTTTAAGGCGTTGTGGACATGGTTCCATCAGCCAGTCCTTGTTACAGTTGAACATTCAAATGTACAGCTTTCTGTACAATTGTACGCCCTGGACCAACACTGCAGTGCTGCTGATTACTGATGAATACAATGAAAACGTGTTCCGAATTATAGCACAATATTTTTGATTTTATATTTCGGAACACAGATTTTCAGCATAGTCAGTGGATTTACTGAGAGTGGTCACCGGTTGAATTCGGAACATAGGCTGTATTCCGAATTCAACTGGTCAGTACTGTCAGTAAATCAACTGACTCTGCTGAAAATTTGTGTTCCGAAATATAAAATCGAAAATACAGTGCTGAAATTCGGGCCACGTTTTCTGGTTTTCGTCAGTAATCAGCAGCGTTGTTGGTGAAATTTGTCAGCTGTCGGGTGGCTGTCGGTTTGTCACTTCTCTAGTTCCTCTTTCTCGTTTATCTGCCACTGCCACATCTGCTCTTTGGTTTTGATCTCGGTAGTCCTGCTCGAGCTGTATTTTGGAAATTCTTAATTTCAACATGGAAGAGCAATACGTTCTTGTAGCCTCCATAGTATCAGCGATTAGTGACGATGCCGATTCAAGCACAAGCTCCAGTGATGAAGAATACATTTTGTTGCCAATGATTTTTCATGATGCATCAGGAAAAAAAAAAGATTGAGAATTGAAAGATTTATGGAAAATGTAATATGGCATTATCCTGATGATGAATTTAGGAGCCATTTGCAGCCCTACTTTTATGAAAAATAGGTGCATTTGCGAACGGCAGCTCTTCGTCAGTAGGCACTATGGGTTCGAGTTATCAAAATGAGTTGAAATAGCAAAAATTCAGTTATCTAGCAATCATAAGGTTAAACAAAACGGATGGGGCGCCACTGCAACTTTTAATTCATATGAAATGTTACCTGGAAAGTTGAGCAACCAGATAATGAATAATATTAGTTGTTCTCCCAGACTAAAAGACCTAAATTTACCTTAGAGATGTTGTGAGTTGGAGTGTCATGTCAATAAACAAATAAAACAGTCATAAAATACCCAAAACATTTAATTATGATGATAGGACTCTTATATCACATGGTTTTGACAAATATGCATAATCAAAAAATATTAGATACTTATTTCCTGTTAGGAAAATACACTGTTGCCTGTTATTATGTGGATGAAAATATGTATAAACCAACCTTATATTGTACTTGAAAAATCAAGAGCTCCTGTAAGGACGTTTTATATTCATAGCAGATTTTTTAAAAAATCAAATGTGAATAATTCTACCAGCGCATAGTATACTATGTGGAGGGGAAGTATGTACCTTTCATGTGTGATTTTATCAATTTATGACCTGGCTATGATTTAAAAATGGTCCATTATACACACTAGCAATGGGCAATATGAGTGAATAAAAATGAAAAATAAAAATATATTTTCATGTCAAAAACCTGTATGGTGTGTCCTACACCAGTTATCCTTGATAAATGGCTTTAGTGCCACCAGATGAAGCTGCTGCGGGGAAGGTTGGCGGAGAGCGGGGTGCTGACTTCACATCCCTGGATGTCAGATGACA